GGCCACGCGGTATAGAAGCAAACGAGACACTGAAACAGAAAACTAGGCTAGTTAGCCAAGGACATCCCCCAAAGAAGATCCTTTGAGACCCAGGGTGATAATACAGACAGGAGGAGGAAAACCAGGGCAGCGACTCCTCCAGAATCACTTACCCAAATGTTGAGCCCCACACAAAAATCTTGGGTAAACTGGAAACCCTGGAACATGATGTGGTGGCAAAAGTGGTGAGCCAGGGAACAGAAGACCTATCTGGCTTCTCGGCCCGTTTCTATCATTTGTTATGTGTAATGGGCAAGCCATTTCACACCAATGTGTAGACTTTGAAATCTGCCAATTTAAGAGCAATAATCTCAATACCAGTAGATGGCGTAATGGATACGTTGCTGGACTCCCACGTAGTCGACCGCAGTTTGAGTCCTGGACTCAGTGGATTTAAACTCATGCCAGGTGTATGTGTGTATATGCCCCAAATCCCGAGAATGGAGAAGTGACTGCAGAGCGACCAACCCCCAGGGGATGATTTCTCACTTTCTGTCTCTCTTTCTCTAGGGCATGTGGTGAGCACACATGTACTAGAGCAAAAATTTCTTTTTTAAAATAGTTATTTATTTCAATTATTTATTCATTTATTTTAATTTGATCAGAGAGACACAGAGAGAAAGAGCAAGAGAGAGGGAAGGTGAGAAAGCAAGCCACCAGGTCCGGGACTTGAACTGTAGTCAGCTATGTGCGAGTGCCCAGTGCCTTAACCACCATGCCACCTGCTGGCCCCAGCAAAAATCTCTTTAAGAAAAAAAAAAAAGAGTAATAATCTCTACTAGCTCAATGAGAGTATTGTGAGATCCGATAAAATAGTGAAGCAATTTGAGCCAGCAGGTGGTATGAGGTTAAGGCACGGGATTCCATAAGGACGACTCCATGGACCTGGACCCAGCAGCTCGAAAAATATGCTGGGTGTGTGTGCGTTTGTGCCCAAAACGCTAGGAAAAGAATGGTGAAGGGATTGTAGTGAGGCCACCACCCCCCCAGAATGTTTTTCACTTTTTCTTTTCCTTCTTTTTTTGGAGAGGTTTTT